AGACCAGAAGAACTTAACAGATACATACAGAACATTCTATCCAAAAGCGGCAGAATACACATTCCTCTCAAGTGCATCTGGGACATTCTCAAGGATAGACCAGAGGTTAGGCCACCAGTCTTAGTAAATTTATCAAGAATCTGTTTTGACCATTATGATAAAACCAATTACCAGAAGAAAACTGGAAAATTCACCATTATGTGGACATTAAATGACATGCTATGGAACAACCAATGGGTCAAAAATGAATCAAAAGACAAAAAAAAATACCTTGAGACAAATGAAAACAGAAATACAACACATCAAAACTTATGGGATGCAACAAAAGCAGTTCTAAGAGGGAAATAATTATCAATAAATGCCTACACTTCAAGAAACAAGATCCCAAACAAACAACTTAACATTACACCTCAAGGAACTAGAAAAAGAACAAAGCCCAAACTTAAGAGAAGAATGGAAATAACAAAATCAGAGCAGAAATAAATGAAATAGGGACCAATAAGACAACAGAAAAGATCCATGAAATTATGGGCTGGTTCTTTGGAAAGATAGACAAAATTGAAAAACTTGTAGCTAGACTCACCAAGAAAAGGATTCAAATAAAATCAGAAATCAAAGAGAAGGTATTACAACTGGTACCACAGAAACACAAAGGATCATACAAGACTACAATGAACAATTATATGCCAACAAATGGGACAACCTAAAAGAAACGAATACCTAGAAACATACAACCTACCAAGACTGAACCAGGAAAAAAAGTAAAAATCTAAACAGACCAATTACTAATAAGGAGATTGTAGTAGTATTCAAAATCTCCCAACAAACACAAGTCCAGGACCAGATAACTCCATGGGTGAATTCTACCAAACATTTAAACAATAGCAATCCTTTTCAAATTCTTACAAATAATAGAAGAGAACACACTTCCAAACTCATTTTATAATGCCAGCATTACCCTGATACAGAACGTAGACGACAACACCACAGAAAAGAAAATTATATGCCACTAGGGTAACAGATATTAACAAGACTTATTGTGGTGATCATTTCACAATGTATACAAATATCAAATCTTTATGTTGTACACTTGAAACTAATATAATGTTGCATGTCAATTATACCTCAGTTTAAAAAAAGAAAAAAATTACAGGCCAATATCCATGATGGACATAGATGCATATATCTTCAACAAAATATTAGCAAACCAAATAAAACACCACATTAAAGGATAATACATAATCATCAAGTGGGATTTACACCAGGGATACAAGAATGGTTCAATATGCATGAATCAATCGATGTGATACACCACCTTCACCAAATGTAAGGTAACAATAATATGATCAATATGATCAATTATTGCAATAGGTGCAAAAAAAAGCACTGTTGACAAAATTCAGCATCCCTTTATGAGAACACCTCTCAACAAAGTAGGTACAGAGGGAACATACCTCAATGTAAAAGGCCATATATGACAAGCTCACAGCTAACATCATACTCAACAGTGAAAATCTGGAAGCTTTACCTGTAAGAGCAGGAACAAGGCAAAGATACCCTCTCACCACTTTACTCAACATAGTCTGGGAAGTCCAAACCAGAGTGATGAGGCAAGGAAAAGAAATAAAATGCATCCAAACAGGAAAGGAAGAAGTAAAACTACCACTATTTGCATATGACATGACATTACAGAGACAGCCCTAAAAACTCCACCAAAAAACTGTTAGAACTAATAAATTCAGTGAAGTTCCAGGATACAAAATCTATACGTAAAAATCTGTTGCATTTCTATACACTAATAATGAACATTCAAAAAGAGAAATTAAGAAAACAATTCCATTTATAATTGCATAAAAATAAAACACTTTAGAATAAATTTAAGAAGGTGAATATTCTGTACACTGAAAACTGTAAGACACTGATAAAATAAGTTGAAAAAGAAATAAATAAGATATTCTGTGTTAACAGATTGGAAGATACTGTTAAAATGTCCCTACTACCCAAAACAATCTACAGATTTAATGTAATTCCCATCAAATTCCAATGCACTTATCACAGAAACAGAAAAAACAATTCTAAAATTTAAATGGAACCAGAAAAGTCCCTGAGTAGCCAAAGCAATCTTAAAAAAAGAAGAACAAAGCTGGAGGCATCACATGGCCTCATTTCAAACTATATTACAAAACTGCAGTAATCAAAACAGTATGGTACTGGTGTAAGAACAGACATATAGATCAATGGAACAGAATAGAGAGCCCAGAAATAAACCTATGCATACATATGTGGTCATTTAATTAATTACAAGGGAGCCAAGAATATACGATGGAGAAAGAACAGTCTCTTCAATAAATGGTGTGGGGAAAACTGGACAGTCACATGCAAAAGAATAAATCTGGACCACTATCTTACACCATACACAAAAATTAACTCAAGGGATGCCTGGGTGTCACAGTTGGTTGGGCGTCCGCAGTTCATGTCACAATCTCACGGTTCTTGAGTTCGAGCCCTGCATCAGGCTCTATGCTGACAGCTCGGAGCCTGGAGCCTGCTTCAGATTCTGTGTCTCCCTCTCTGTGCCCCTCCCCCACTCACACTCTGTCTCACTGTCTCTCTCAAAAATAAAGATTAAAAAAAAATTTTTTTAATTAACTGAAATGGGTTAAAGATTTGAATGTTACACCAGAAACCATAAAAGTCCTAGAAGAAAACATAGGTGGTAAGTTCCCTGGCATTGGTCTTGGCGATGACTTTTTGAATCTGACACCAAAAGCAAAAGCAACAAACATAAAAATAAACAAGTGGGACTACATCTAAACTAAAAATCTTCTGCACAGCAAAGGAAACCATCACCAAAATGAAAAAGCAACGTACTGAATGGGAAAAAATATTTGCAAATCACATACCTGATACAGGGTTAATATATAAAATAAAGAGCTCATACAATTCAATAGCAAAAAAGAAATCCAATTTTTTAAGTGGGTAGATCTGAATAGATATTTTTCCAAAGAAGACCTACAGATAGCCAATGGCCACACGAAAAGATGCTTGTCACCACTAATCATCAAGGAACTGCAAATCAAAACCACAATGATATATCACCTCCCACCTGTTAGAATAGCTAATATCAAAAAGGCAAGAAATAACAAGAGTTGGAGGGGATGTGGAGAAATGGGAACCTTGGCTCTGTTGGTGGAGTCATGAACTGGTGCCACCACTATGAAAAACAGTATGAAGGTCCCTCAAAAATTTTAAATAGAACTACCATATAGTCCAGAAATTTCACTTGCGGGTATTTATGTAAAGTATTTAAACAATCTGCACTCCATGTTCACTGCAGCATTATTTACAACAGCCAAGATACAGAAACAATCTAAGTGTCCATATATGGATGAATAGATAAGAAAATATGGCATATATGTTATATTGTGATTTATAGTAAGAAATATATAGTCTTTAAACTTGGTCTTTAATCCAGTTTCTGGCATAGAGCTCCTAAAACCCGTGGAATTTCCTGTGGTAAGAGGGATAGAAGTGGCTTTTGGAAAGCCCTTAGTTAACCTAAAGATGGGGTCTGGTTACCTGGGGAGCCAACAGTGTAATTACAAGATTTTAACTTTCAGTACCCCCACCCCAATCTCTAGGGTGGGGAGAGGGGCTGAAGGTTGAATCAGTCATCACAGGCCGATGATGATTTAATCAATCATGCCTATGTAATAAAGCCTCCCTAAAAACCCAGACAGCATTCAGAGAGTTTCCAGATTAGTGAACACGTGAAGATTTGGAAAGAGTGGTGACCTGGAGAGAGCATGGAGGCTCCACGCCCTTTTCTCCCACCCAACCCTATGTATCCCTTCTACTTGGCTGGTGCTAAGTTATATCCTTTTATAATAAACCAGTGACCTAGTATGTAAAATGTTACCAAGTTCTGTTAGCTTCTCTAACAAATTAATTGAACTCAAGAAAGGAATCATAGGAATCTGGTTTTTAGCCAGTTGGCCAGAAATACAGGTAATAACTTAGACGTGTGAATGGCATCTAAAGTCCAAGGAGGAGGTCACGGGAACCTCCAATCTGTAGCCAGGTGGTCAGAAGCATAACTAACAGCCTGGGCTTGCTGCTGGCATCTGATACAGAGTAAGGGTTGAAGGCAGTCTTTTAGGACTGAATCTTTCACCTGTGAATCTGATACTATCTTTAAGTAGATAGTGTCAGCATTGAGTTGAATTCTCAGACACTGTTGGAATCGGTCAGGAACCTAACTTAATACATATACAATGGAATATTATTCAGCCACATATAAGAAGGAAATCTTGCCATCTGCAACAACACAGATGGACCTTGAAGGCATTACGCTAAGTGAACTAAGTCAGACAAAGACAAATACAGCATGATCTCACTTATATATGGAATCACAACAAATGAGCTCATACATATAGAGACTATATTAGTGATTACTGGAGGTAGAGGGTGAGGGGTAGGTAAACTGGGTAAAGAAGATCAAAAGGTACAAACCTGCAGTTATGAAATAAATAAGTCATGGGGATGTAACTCACAGTACAAGGACTATAGTGAATAATTCTGTATTGCCTGCTTGAAAGTTGCTAAGAGAATAAATCTGAAAATTTCTCATCACAGGAAAAATTGTATTTACAACTATGCACGGTGACAGGTATTACCTAGACTTACTGTGGTGATCATTTTGCAGTATAGACAAATAGCAAATCATTATGCTGTACACCTGAAACAATACAACGTTATATATTAATTATACCTTATTTTTTAAAAAAATGGTGCTTTCCAGGTCTCACCACTCACACTAAAAATAAAGAAATTCCAGAGTAAAAGATAAGTTCTCGTCAAGTTTCAGCATGACAGGCATTCAATAATGTTTGCTTTGGGGCAAAGTTCCCATCGGTCACCCTTTTTACAAAGGTCCAAATGAATGATCTTTAAATGGGACACATGTCAAAATCCAAAATGCCAAACAGAATTCTCATTACCTATGAGTGGAATCTCTCATGAGCTGCTGCAAATCCACCTCCTGCTTCCTCAGGGTTCCAAATGAAGACTGCCTTTCCACAAGGCCTTTGCCTCCAATACTCAGCTTGACCTTCCCTAGTGCCGTCTCGATGGACCCACTCAGCTGGTTTTGAAACTTGCCCTCATATTTCACAAAGTCCGACTCCACAACCGCTGGAGAGAATGAGACACGCAAAGGAGTCTGATGATAATACGGCCACCTCTCTGCCTTAGGTCACCTACCTTTCCAGTCCTGTGGAAATCCATGAGAAACATGAAGTTTGCCTGGCAGCCATGCTGTGTATGTGAAAAGGAAAATGGAGCCAGTACGATGTGAACTGTTGGCCAGGGTTTCTACCAGGTGCTTTTTTTGTTTGTTTGTTTTTTGTTTTTGGATTTCAATTCCAACATATACGTATATAGATAGGTGCACAAAAAGTATCTAAAGAGTTTAACGAATAATGTTGAAGCAAGCATCCAGGGGTGCCTGGCTGGCTCAGTCAAAAGAGCATGCGACTCTTGATCTCAGGGTTGTGAGTTTTAGCCCCACATTGTTGGGCATAGAGATTACTTAAAAATAAATAAAATTTCAAGCAAGCATCCATTTAAACACTATCCAGATTATAAAATAGAATATTTTAAATGTGTACTTTTCCAGGGTAAAGACTATAAAGGGACTTCATGCGGTTGATACCTAACCAGAGTGAAAACAGCAGCCTCCGCTCACAACAGAGAGGTCTGCCTTATGTGATATCTAGCAGGTCAGCCAAGTAGACCCTGGGCATCTTCCCTTCCCACCCATCTTAGAGAACATTCCCTAGGCCTTCATTACCATCTCTATGAAAAAAATTCCCCTCCCCACACTTACCTGTTTATACTGACCTCTACCCAGCCATTTAATTCCTTATCATACCTTATCTCTATTCCTGATAAAGTCAGTTGTCATGCCTGCCCTCCCTCCCTCCCTCCAACACCATCCTGGAACACACAAGCTCCAGATTCTCTACCCTTACTTTCCGGCTTCCCAGACTTAGGAAGATGCCACCACCCACCAAGTGTCCCAGCTTCCATCAAGTCCTCCATGAATTACTATCTCATCTGGTCACATCCAGATGGCTATCCCATTGCCTTCAAGCTCTACCCTTCTTTTCTGGACACTAAAGATAAACATCTGATGATTTCATCCCTGAATTGCCAGCCTCATGTGTCCAGATTTCTAGTGTTCTCATCTCTAATCCAACCAAATACCACCATAAAAATAGTCTCAGTCACTGTCATTGGGTATGGCTACACTTAGAGGCTCTTTAGAACTTCACACTGGGCTTTTTTCATTTCTCTGCCCCAAGGTTCACCTGGGCTCCTTATACTTATACTCTTATACTTCATAAGGCATTCCAATCTTCCTGAAGTCTGAAAGGCTTCTTTCTAACCACTCACTGCCCCCAACACCTGTATTTCTTTCACTCCAGTCAAAAAAGCTTGTTCCTCAACAAAGGTTAATGAGAATTAATCACCCATCATTATCTTTGCAATTTACAAAACAGAGAATCATCTCTCTCACCACCACCAAAAATAAGAAGACTGTGAAAATGCCCTCAATTCAAAGGCTTTTCCTATTTTATTTGTATCCTATGGAATACAAACACTTTGGGAAATTCTTAGGGGAGCAGCATAGAACAGTTGTTAAGAGCTCAAGATTGTAATCACTATTCTAATATTCCTAGCTAGAAGAACTGGCTAAAATTCATCTCCCTGAGCCTCAGTTTTCTCATATCTAATTTGGAGATAATGCCTTCCTGATGAATTCTGTTACAAGTTGATGTACCTAAATCACATAATGCAAAGCCTGGCACATAGCAAATACTCAATGTATCTACTGGATTTAGGCCAGAACAATGTCATTTTCTGATAAATGGAAGACTTAGGTTATACAAAGTGCTACACAGAAATTCTACCACTTTATCTCCCCTCTTCTCCAGCTATTTCTGGACCAGCTTGAGAGCCTATCCTGGTCTCCCCAGAAAGCTTCATTATGTGAGTAATAAAACTTTTCACACCCTCCCATTGGATATGTAGGATCTGAATCAACCTATTTATGCTCAGTGGCCACAACACCTACGGTGGGCCTTAATTTTACATGTTTTAATTTTACATCACAAACTTCAATATTATTTTTTAAAACTTAAGCTATAACTTTTCACATCTGCCCTGTAGAATTTTGTTCATTTAAAGAAAGGGTATATCTCTAAGAACAGTATGCAAAGAAACAGGAGAATTCATTATAAGATGTCACCTTACAATCACTCAAGACCGCATGTAACCTAGAAGATGAATCATCATCTTTCTGGAACTAACTGTAGCATATACCCAAAGGAACCTACCTGGACTCCGAAACTGGTCTCCTGTAAGCACATCTCCAAGGGTGACAGATAAAAACTGGTACTTGGGTCTCTGCCAGCACCAGAGTCTCTTTTTTTTGGTCACCAGACCTAGAAGCTGTAATTTATCAGAGTCATTCAAGGTTGATACTGGAATCAGGTCACCTCCAGAATCAACTTCTTTAAGAAAATTCCTTGTTGCTTTGGCAAACATGATGAGAGCCCCAGATTACCTGGAAAAAAAAAAGTTACCTGCAAATTAAATAGGAAGTTATTATCTCACCTATTTTTTTTCTAAAATTGCCTTATTTCTCCCTAGTGTCAATCCTATCTCCTCCCTACAAAACTAGTGTGAGTTCAGTTGATGACAAAAAATTAAATTGAATACTGAAAGAGAACAGGTGTGTAAGTGAAGATAGGCTAGGTTGTGCTTCAGAAAAAAATAAGTTCCAAATATTAGTGGCTTATAACAAGAAAGGTTTATCTATGGGCCACGCTACACTTCCAACACAGGAGGACAAGAAAACTTTTGCCATTGTAGTCATTCAAGGGTCCAGACTAAAGGGGAAGCCTCCTTCTTGAATACTGTCAATCATCACCCAACAGGAAAGAGTTCACACCAGCAATTACATGCTCTGGCCTCAAACTGACACAGAACATGTTCACTCACAATTCATCAGAAGCAGTCATACGGGCTGAGCCAGCCACAATGGTCAGGAAATATATCTAGAAGTCAGACACATGGGAATATTTGTTGACCAACATACTGACAACCCTAATTTGTAAGATACAAAGGTAGGACCTCTTCTTTGAAGGGTCAATGTGCTTTTTCTCCACACTGTGTGATTTCCCCTATTCACAAATGGAAAGGAACTATTACTTTTTAATTCAGAAATGAAGACCTCATCACTCTTCAGCTGTGGGGAAAAAGAAGAAACACCCTGGAAGATATAAAATACTGTATTCAGTAGAAGAAGTATAGACTATTCCATAAATGGTGTCAGAAGAATGGGCTTATCATCTGAAAAAATATATACAGCCAGATTCCCAGCTCATGCCATACACAAGAGAAAATTCTCAATGGATTGGAGGGTTTTTGAGGAAAAATGAAACTATAGAAATACTAGTTAAAAATACAAATATTTGTTCAATTGTAGGATGAGAAAGGCCTTTAGGAAGACAAACAGAAAACTGAGAAAATACTTACAATATTTATAAAAAAAAAACTAGAATACTTATAAAAAATACTTGTAAAAAAATCTTTTACAAATTGTTTTTAAAACACTGTAATAGAAATATGGGCAAATGTTATTAACAACTCACAATATATAAATTGCACCTAGTTATATACGTATAGACTATATACACACACATACACACACGAATATATATGTGCATACACATAAATACACACACATGTAATTATTACTCAAAAAAAGCACAAGTGAAATAAGGTGGTTTTTTTTTTTAATTATCCATGCTCAAAGATTAAATTATCCAATGGATAAGAAATGTGGTTTATTTGTATTTGTACCCTTGTGTCTGGCAGTCACACAGATAGAAAATCACAGAGTTTGAGAGCTGGGATTAGTCTTAGACATTAACTAGTTGAACCTGCTTGCTTTAACATGAACCTCCTCTAGGACATCAGAAAATGTTTGCCTTACTTATCACTCGCCCTTCTCTCAAGTGCCTTTTCTCTGATTATTGTGTGGCTCCCTATGTTCTTGTGTATTAACAGTAAGAATAAACATTTAAGGAAAGTGTTCTAAAACATAAAAAGTTACTTTTTGATAAACAGTGAACAGCAAGAAAGGAAAAGTCCCTATGCTCAGACTCTCATCTGTAATTCATCTCTCACTATATTAAATTGCTTGCTTGTGCTGAGCACTCATTCACTTATTGAAACATTTCCTGAATCATTCACTAATTGTCCTTAAGTGCCTACTACACACAGGTACTTGCGTTAAGCACTTAGGATACTGATACAAAAAGTAATCTATCTCTACACAGATGGCCAACAGACACATGAAAAGATGCTCAACAGCACTAATTACTAGGAAAATGCAAATCAAAACTATAATAAGATATCACTCCACACCACTCAGAATGGCTAGAATCAAAAAGACAAGAAGTAATAAGTGATAGTGAGGATGTGGAGAAAAAGGAGCCCTCATGCACTCTTGGTGGGAATGTAAATTGGTGCAGCTGCTGTGGAAAACAATATGCAGCTCCCTCAAAATATTAAAAATAGAAACACCATATGATCCAGTAATCCCACTACTGGAATTTACTCAAAACAAAAATGCTAATTTGAAAAGATATATGCACCCTATGTTTACTGCAGCATTTACAACAGCCAAGATATGGAAGCAACCCAAGTGTCCCCTGACAGACAAATGAATAAACAAGATGTGGGGTGTGTGTGTGTGTGTGTGTGTGTGTGTGTGTGTGTGTGTGTGATGGAATAATACTCAGCCATAAAAAAGAATGAGATCTTGCCATTTGCAACAACATGGAGGGACCTAGAGGGTATTAGGTTCAGTAAATCAGACAAAGGCAAATAACCAGAGGATTTCACTTATATGTGGAATCAAATAAACAAACAAAAGCAGAAACAGACCCATAACACAGAGAACAAACTGATGGTTGCCAGAGGGGTGGGGTAGGGAGATGGATGAAGGGGAGTGGAAGCCACAGGCTTCCAGCTATAGAATAAGTCACAGGGATGAAAGGTACAGCAAAAGGAATATAGTCAATGGTATTGCAAAAGCCTTGTATGGTGACAGGCAGTAGCTACAGTTGTGGTGTGCATAGAGTTGTCAAATCATATACTATACATCTGAAACTAATATAACAGTGGGTGTCAACTATACTTCAATAAATATATAAAGTAATCTCTCTCCTTGAGCTACTAGTTTGGTGGCCAGATAGAAACATAAACAGCTAGGGTTTATGCTAGATATTGACATTGTCATAAGAAATGAACCAAGAAAAGGGTTCTAAATCCAACTGGAGAGAAGCATACGGTCAGAGAAGTCCTCCTGAAGTACACAGGATCCAACTGCATTTTGTTGACTAAGTAGAAACAGTCAGAGGATCAGCAATTATAAAAGCCTGGCATTTGCAGGAGGTGGTGGAAGGGGTGGGGAAGATCGTGCATGGCAAGATTTGTGACTGACAAGCTCATCGTGGTCCACGAGACATCATTTTGTGTAAGTATACCCATCACCGCTTGCTTGGCAGATACAGAATTACCTTTCAAGCTCTGGGATTGGTTCTCTCATTGGAGTGCACGGTTCTAGAGCAGAGAAGGGCAAAGGACAGGGATGAGGAAGCCTTGGTCCAGGCCATGCAAGCCGTGCCTCCCTTGCTGGGGGCCAGAGCAGCAGGAGCCATCAGAGGGGTTGTACAGGGAGCAATGCAATCAAGAGTGGACCGTTAGCAAGATCTTCCAGAAGCAAAACAGGAAACCAGCTGGGAGGGAACAAGATTAGAGATGGACGTCAAATGGTTATACTGAACTATGTCATCGGTGTAAGGATAGAAAAGATGCTGATTTGGTGGTTTCCCCTGAACTCTGGTTGGATGTGAGGGTGGTATGGAAAGGGACTCCAAAGGATGGTCTCCAGGTATGTCAGGTGTGGGTTGGCCAAGGAGATAGAGATGCCAGGTACCAAGAAAGGAAATTCAGGAGGAAGCAGATTGGTGGGGGACATACCTGCTGAAAGTGGATCCAGGGTAGCATGCAAGATTTATTTTGCCGAATGTACGGAAAGAGCTTTTAACAAATAAGGTCTCCCCAATGATCTGTGGGAATTCATCCTGCTTGTCCAAGAGCAGAGCCACAGCAGAATCTGCCTCAGTATATACACCATTGGTATCTGCATCTCTAGTTTTATAATTTCTATTCTTTTCTGGTATAACATGAAAGGGAGTTCACTAACTTCCCTTCAGGTCAAACAGGTTTCTGAAAAAGCCAAATCAGACTTGCCATTAAAAAACATAACTTGGGGCGCCTGGGTGGCTCAGTCAGTTACGTGTCCGACTCTTGGTTTTGGCTCAGGTCAGGATCTCACGGTTCATGTGTTCAAGCCCTGCATCAGACTCTGCACTGACAGGCCAGAGCCTGTTTCAGATTCTCTCTCTCTCTGCCCCTCCCCTATTCGCTCACTCTCAAAATAAATAAAAATAAAATAAAAAAAAAAAAAAGGAAAACAAATATATACATAACATAATAAAATCCATCTGTTGTGGATGACAAAGCTGTTGTAATGACAGTAATCCTCCCCAAAGGAATTAGAGGCTAAAGAAAAGGAACTCCTAAATTATTTTGTTTCCATCCACCATCAAACACAGTTAATTTTCCTTCTTGACAGAGTAGTGTGCTTTAGGAAAAGCTAATGCAGGTGGCTATTGCTTTATAGGTTTTTATTAGAATCAGGCTAATTCAGTCAAGAAAATCCATATATTCTTGCGAAGTTAAAGCTAGAGGTTTCTTTTTATTATGTTTAAATGCATAATATATTGGGGCGCCTGGGTGGCGCAGTCGGTTAAGCGTCCGAGTTCAGCCAGGTCACGATCTCGCGGTCCTGAGTTTGAGCCCGCGTCAGGCTCTGGGCTGATGGCTCGGAGCCTGGAGCCTGTTTCCGATTCTGTGTCTCCCTCTCTCTCTGCCCCTCCCCCATTCATGCTCTGTCTCTCTCTGTCCCAAAAATAAATAAACGTGGAAAAAAAATTAAAAAAAAATAATAAATAAATAAATAAATGCATAATATATTACATGGCTCAAATATCTAAATTGTGTAAAAAAAAAAAAAATACACTGTGAAATCTCATTTGTCCCCAGATTCCATCTACCCTTTCAAGGCTCTTCCCTGCAGGTATATTACCACAGTATTTCTTTTTTTTTTTTTTAATTTTTTTTTTTTAACGTTTATTTATTTTTGAGACAGGGAGAGACAGCATGAACGGGGAAGGGTCAGAGAGAGAGGGAGACACAGAATCAGAAACAGGCTCCAGGCTCTGAGCTGTCAGCACAGAGCCTGATGCGGGGCTCGAACCCACGGACCGGGAGATCATGACCTGAGGCGAAGTCAGATGCTTAACCAACTGAGCCACCCAGGCGCCCCACCACAGTATTTCTTTATACAAATACAAGTTCAAAGAAGTCTGCACACTGTTCTGCAGACATCTTATTTTTTTTTATCGTGTAACAAGATGTGCTGGAAATCTTCCCATGTTAGTACCTTCAACTTTGCAGCTGAATACTCCATCATGTGGCTGTACCACTGTTTGTCTTGTAGGGCTGATTATGTAGGTTATGTCTACGTTTTTTAGCATAAGAATACCACACTAAATACTCTTGGACATGTCTTCTTCATACATGGGTAGGAGAATCCAAAGGAAGATTCCTACAAGAGGGATTGCTAGACGTATGGGTAAATACATCTATAATTTTAGGGGCTGTACCATTTTGCAGTCTCACCAGTAAGGTATCAAAGTCTCAGCAGTTCTCAAACTTTTATATTTTTGTCAGTATCATAGGTGAGAAACAGTATATCTCAGTATAGTCTTAGGATATGTTATTTTAATATGAATTTAATCAAGCATCTTTTGTTTAAAGGATTTTTGTATTTCCTTTTCTTAACCATTTGTGTCCTTGGTCCATTTTCTATTTTTTTTTCTTTATTCCTAGGATTTTTTTATATAATAGGCCAGCTAAAACACAGGATAGAAATTTAATACAGTCGAGTTTATCATGTGGCAGTGGAAACAATAAGCTACCATACCATTCTCAAATACCTAAAGTAACAATCTAGCCAGGAAAGATTAAATACTATGCCTGGAAGCCAACTGACAGATCTAGAACCCACATTGCCTGACAGACAAGCACAATAGGGTCTCAATTCAACATTAGTCAGAATTCAGATTCAAATTTCCAGTGTGCTCCAATCTCAAAGGAGACAAAAATGGCCTCATGAGAGATCTAGCTTAAATTGCTCAAGGCCTAAAAACCCATTGCATTTCACAGCTGTACCCCAGATCCTGGCTCTCACAAAAGGCCTTAAGAATTCCATTAGCTATGGGACACCTGGGTGGCTCAATCAGTGAAGCATCTGACTCTTGATTTCAGCTCAGGTCATGATATCATGGTTCGTGAGTTTGAGCCCCATGTTAGGCTCTGCACTGGCAGCCAGGAGACTGCTTGGGAGTGTCTGTCTGTCTGTCTCTCTCTCTCTCAAAATAAATAAACATTTAAAAGAAAAAAAGAATTCCATTAGCTGGGTGGGGGGATGGGTTAAATAGGTGATGGGGACTAAGGAATGCACTTGTGAGGAGTACGGGGTATTGCATAGAAGTGTTGAATTACTAAATTGTACACCTGAAACTAATATTACGTTGTACGTTAACTGGAACTTCAATAAAAACTTAAAAAAAAAAAAAGAAATTCCATTAGCAAAAGGTCCTTACTCATCCAGCTCAAAACAATTAGAACTCGGGGCACCTGGGTGGCGCAGTCGGTTAAGCGTCCGAGTTCAGCCAGGTCACGATCTCGCGGTCCGTGAGTTCGAGCCCCGCGTCAGGCTCTGGGCTGATGGCTCAGAGCCTGGAGCCTGTTTCCGATTCTGTGTCTCCCTCTCTCTCTGCCCCTCCCCCATTCATGCTCTGTCTCTCTCTGTCCCAAAAATAAATAAACGTTGAAAAAAAATTAAAAAAAAAAAAACAATTAGAACTCAGAAAACAAAAGCAAATGTGGTAAGGATACGGAAGTTTGAATCAGACTCCTGGACAACAGATTTTGAAAGAAGAGACGATGAAAGCAAGACAATACCAAATCAGAAAAGCACCTGGCCAACTGGGGCCACTGGCTCCTGGGAGCAAAGGAAAAATAGGCGCCAAGGTCATGATGGCCTGAGAATAGAACACACATAATTAGCATCCATTCATAATGGTTCCAAGTGACAGAATGATCAAATCTTTGAGTTGGAAAGGACCCAGTTCTTCTTCATGCTCAGTTCAGGATGCTTCTTTGGAGCAGCTCTGGCTGATTAATTTTGAGGAAGTTCTGAGTAGTTCTGAGGAAGAAACCTCAACATCAAAATACACTAGATAAAGAGAGGAGCTGTAGAGTACCTGTGCTGTGCCAGCACTGGGCTAAATTCTCGCTATGCATTTCCTCATTGAATCTTCAAAACAACACCAAGTAGGCATTGTGCAGAGATGGAAACTCAAGTTCGAAGATGTTAAGCAACTTGTCCATATCACGAAAGAGGGAAAAAAACAAAGTAGCCCTGGCACCGGGGAGCTGGCCTGGTCCTATCAGCCAGCCCTGGGGTGGCCAGGTGCAGGCCCAGCATGCTCCTGTTGAGCACGAACAGTGCCTCAGCATAGCAACATCAGGCAAGACCACTCTGGGTGACGTCATGATAAATTAGAACAAAAACAAGACCCCTCGTAATCTTGTGTGACCTCAAAATGCGAATACTGTCCAAACCACAAAAATGACCAAACAGCCGCCGCCGCCACCACCACCATCACCAGTCGTGGCTAACGAATGACAGCTGCTTCTTGGCCAACCACAGCTCTAGCCTCACTGCAGCCTTCTTTCATTTTAGACAAGATCTGTGAAGATACTCCATAGAATTCTCCCTCTTCCTGACAGCATCCAATCCAGAACTCAGTCCTGTTTCCTTAAACTCTCCCCCAAACCACCTACAAGCCTGAATGCTAGAACTCCTTTCTAACACCCACTTACTGAGACGCCCCAGGGTTCCCTGAGCTGCGAGGACGCCCTCGCTGCAACAAGCAACAAACCCAACTCTTTCAAATCTAAGTGTATTCCTGGAGATCTGTGGAGGACGCTAAATGTCACACAGAGAATCAGTGCAAAGCCAAGATTCCAATGGTGGTCCAACTGCCTCCCAAGCCTGAGCCATTGACCACCGTGCTTTGCTGATTTCCTCAGTCAGCTCTTTTCTTTGATAGGATTAATTTTCTAAAATATGAATAAGATTCATTTTATAAAATAAAGTGTGCTCAAAAGGGTAGACTACAGTTACAGTGGAAGTGAAAATCACAGTTATGGGACACGCTATTTCCTCACTATCCAGGGAAACGAGACATTGCTGTACATGTCTCATAGTTAACAACTTCAGCACATTTTGAATCATTTTTAGTTTTCTAAATAACACAGTAAAATTTAGTCTATTAAAACAGAGGTGTCATCTTTTTATATCCTCCCAGCTCACAGCCCAGGACCTGGGCTCATTTTATAAAAAGCCGAATTAAAGACAAGGTACTCTATCGCTTCTTTCTAAAATAAAAAGCAGTATGTGAAAGAAAAAAAAAAACACACACACAAATGATGGTCACAGGACAGGCGTGAGTTTGAAAAAGGAGTGAGGGTGAGACAGAAAAGGCTTTTGGGAAGTGGAGTGGGTAACAGAAGAGAGGGCTTAAGAACAGAGAAGAACTCTCTGGTCCCCTTGAGGGTTCAAAGAGAACAAAAAGAAACACTGCTGGAAAATGCCAAACTTCCTCTTAAAGCAGGCGATCTATGGGACAGCAGCTGGGAGCCTGGGCCATATTTCTCAGATCGAGTCTCTAATTGCCTGGGCTCCACTTCTCACAGATGTTTTCCTTAATAGGAAGAGCTCATTGGTGGTTGATTGTGACAATGATCAATTTACACTACATGTATTCAGCTGCTTCTCTGACCTCACAGCACCTCTTTCATTCCACTCCAATTCTCTGTCTGCCTCTTGAGGGCTGCGACCCGAAGACCTCCATCCCTCTCCCCATCCTGTAGAACAGAGCCACCCCTCGATGAGTGGTGTTTCAAAACACTCTACAACAAACGCCTTTGTAGGAGCCCCCCCCCCCTCCTCGTTGCCTCTCAGGTGCAGATGTGAAGTGGGCGCCCAGGGGGTCCGCACCTCGAGGCCTAGGGAAGCCACGCGGGCAGCTGTGAATGAGGTCATCCCATCCCCCGCCTAGGACATTCAGGGGGGCTTGGCCTTCTCTCCAAGCTTGGGGCCCAATTTCAGGCAGACAGGGAATCGTTCAAGCCCAGACACTCAACTCGTGTGCTCTGGCCTTCCTTTCCCGCACACACGCCCCGCAAGCCGGGAAAGCCTTTGCACATCCAGGGGGAAACGCGAGGACAAAGGATGAAGGAGTGGAGAGGGATGGTGAACGGGGTGGGGACGTTGGGACACAAGGTACCAGTCCTCGCAACAGCCCGGGAAGAAAGAGGCAGCGGGGAAGTGGGGGAGAGAGGCCCGGGAATGGGGGAGAGTGGAACGCAGTTGGTCCCGATGGCCAGTCGCTGGGCAGCCGACCGACTGGTCTCCCTCAGGAATGGAGCAACAGCGGGGAGGAGTGTCCCCGATAGACAGGAGCCGCGGACCCGGCTCCCCGGGGCCGAACGCCCGCCGGAGCGGAGCCCGCGCCGCCGCACTCACCTGCGGTCTTCGCCCGATCCCCGCAGCCGCTCACGCAGCGCCCCGAGCCTGCCCGGGCGAATTAGCCAAGCGGGGCGGGCTGGGGGCGGGGGCTCGGCGGGAGGGGGCGGGCCGCTGGGACCTTTGCTCCGCAGCTTCTCCTGCGCCGCGGCCAGCCAGCCAGACGGGACCGGGGGAACTGGGCCGAGGGAGGCCGGGACGGGCCGGGGCGGGGCGGGTGCAACCGGGGCGGGGCGAGGACGGCGGGCGGTGTCCCGAGACCGGCCCAAGGCCCAGAGCCGGCCGGTTCCCTCTCTTTGGGTGACTACGCTCTGGCGGGTCGCTGACGCCCCGGGGCTCGTCTTTGGCAGGAGCCCCCGCCAGGTCTTAGCGATCCGAGGCCTGGGGCGCACCAGAGCAGTGTGCTCGGCTTTCCTCCCCCAGGCCTCATCGCCCGCCCTCGGTCCCGAGGGGTTTGAAGCCTGCCGGGCCTCGCCACCAACAGTGGGGTGCGGACTGGCACCGCGGCTTCACCGTTCCACTCGGCAAATCTGAGGCTGCTGTACCCTGTGGGGAGCCCCTGGTGTCCGCGCCTGGGAGTGTCCAGCTTTGTGTGGTGTGACCGTGCCCACACTGGGTCCTGACGTTACTAGGAATTCATGCACCTAGATTCAAGGCTCCTTGAGGGCGGAGCCCAGCATCCCTCCCTAGGTGCTCTGTGACCAAGGGAATCTGAGCATAGTTGGTGCTCAAAAATTGTTTGCAGACTGTCTGACTTAAACATTATATCCCTTCAGTCAGTATTTACAGATCATCTTTTCTGAGCAGTACTCTGCCAGGCTGAGAACAATGAATGAGAACAAAATTTCGTACTCGGAGAACTTGCATTCGGGAGTGTTGAGTTTTGTTGCTGCCTTCCACAGGCCTGGGAAAGAGGCAGGGTTTTCCCTGGGGCCCCCATATGTTCTAAGCATATTCCTAGACTGCAGTTACCCCACCTCCTTGTACTTAGCAAAGCCCTCCTGACTCTTCAAAGTACGGGCAGTTTATCAGTTTAGAGGAACACTCCCTAGTTCCTTGCCTGCTTTATTTTTTTTATTTTTTTTTAACGTTTATTTATTTTTTTGAGACAGAGAGAGACAGAGCATGAACGGGGGAGGGGCAGAGAGAGAGGGAGACACAGAATTGGAAGCAGGCTCCAGGCTCTGAGCCATCAGCCCAGAGCCCGATGGGGGGCTCGAACTCACGAACTGCGAGATCGTGACCTGAGCTGAAGTCGGATGCTTAACCGACTGAGCCACCCAGGCGCCCCACTTTTTTTTTTAAATCTTTTTAAGTTTATTTATTTATGAGAGAGCGAGAGAACAAGTGGGGGAGGGGCAGAGAGAGAGGGAGACACAGGCTCCAAGCTCTGAGCTGTCACCACAGAGCGGGATAGGGCCTGAGCTGAAGTCAGAGGCTTCACCAACTGAGCCACCTAGGCGCCCCATCTGCTTTATCTTTCTCCTTTGCACTGATCACCATCTGATAGGCAATATACATCCTACTTATTTCATGTACTATCTTTCTCTTCCTTAGAATGTCAGTTCTCTGAGGCTACAGACTTTTGTCTGTTTTGTTCACTATACCCTGCACCTAGCACACACCTGATGCATAGTAGGTAGTCACTATTTGTTAAATTAATTAACACATCCTTTTGTTTGCTTTTCCAACTAGACTATGGGGTCATACCCATCCGTGCGATGCCTGGCACAAGGTAGGTGCACCATTAATGATGGTTGAATGAATGAGTGAATAGAAATGGTTGAGACAGATGATCCTGTCTTGCCAAACTAATAGGTATGGGAAGAAAAAAAGAATCACTGTGGGGGCCCTGCTGAAAGACTTGTCATCCATGTTATGTCTTCTCTGTGTTCATAACATTATATGGTGGTGACTCTGGCTTGTTATCACACCTAGGCCCTTCACCTTAAGAATATCCTCATAGGGGCGCCTGGGTGGCGCAGTCGGTTAAGCGTCCGACTTCAGCCAGGTCACGATCTCGCGGTCCGTGAGTTCGAGCCCGGCATCAGGCTCTGGGCTGATGGCTCAGAGCCTGGAGCCTGTTTCCGATTCTGTGTCTCCCTCTCTCTCTGCCCCTCCCCCGTTCATGCTCTGTCTCTCTCTGTCCCAAAAATAAATAAACGTTGAAAAAAAAATTTTAAAAAATAAAAAATAATAAAAAAAAGAATATCCTTATAAACAGCATGTTCATGAAGTCCCCACAGAGCGCCAGCCCCTTCTAGATAGGTTACCACTTATAACTGAGAGTGCATGAGCTTTCTGTTGCATCAGTTTCTTAGGGGCTTCAAATTATTTCACTCCTGTTCATTGCCTTTCAGTTATAATGCCTGAGGCCTGTAATAATATTAGCTGCTAACATTTACATGATGCCCTCTAGGGGCACCTGGGTGGCTCAGTCAGTTAAGCAGCTGACTTCTGCTCAGGCCATGATCTCATGGTTTGTGAATTCGAGTCCCGTGTTGGGCTCTGTGCTGACAGCTCAAAGCCTGCGACTTGCTTCAAATTCTGTGTCTCCTTCTTTTTCTCCCTGCCCCTCCCCTGCTTTCTCTCTCTCTCTCTCTCTCTCTCTCTCTCTCTTTCTCTCTCTCTCTCTCTCTGTGTCTCTCTCTCTCTCAGAAATGAACATTAAAAAAAATTTAAAAAACATTTATATGGCGCTCTCTAGTTACTATCACAAAGCATGGTTCTGAGTTCATTGCATGCATTGACTGACTCATCTAATCCTTACAGCAATTGGTTGGGAGTCCAAGTTACAAATGAGATCACTGAGGCACTAGCCAGGAAGCTCACCTAGCTGAGAAGAAACAGAGCCAAGATTTACGTCCAGATCACTTAATACCATCTGAGTTTCTTTTTGTAATTCAGATATACCTGACATATAACATTGTGTCTATTTAAAGTATACAATATGTTGATTTGACATACTTTTACATTGATAAAACTCATTAATGGGGTGTATTGTATACATGAACATATTAATGAAAACATATGGTGTCTGTCTTCCTCTGACTGACTTATTTCACTTAGCGCAATACCTTCCAGTTCCATCCACGTTGCTTCAAATGGCCAGATTTCATTGTTTCTCATTGCCAAGTAGTATTCCATTGTATATAGAAACCACATGTGATCTTGAGAAATTTAAAAGAAGACCATGAGGGAGGGGAAGGGGAAGGAAAAAAAAGTTACAGAGAGGGAGGGAAGCAAACCATAAGAGACTCTTGGATACTGAGAACAAACTGAGGGTTGATGGGGAGTGGGGGAGAGGGGAAAGTGGGTGATGGGCATTGAGGAGGGCACCTGTTGGGATGAGCACTGGCTGTTGTATGGAAACCATTTTGTCAATAAATTACATTAAAATAAATAAATAAATAAACAAACAAACAAACATATTAATGAGCTAGGTCTGCATGGCTGCCATAACTATTTCTAGTTCTTTGGGAGCCACTTTTGGAAAAATTTGGACTCTCTTAGATCAATAGCCACTATGGAAGAGAAAGAACACACACAGGCTTTGGATCAGACAGATCTGGGTGAAACCTAGCCTACTACTTACCAACTGAGTGACCTTAGGCAAATTTTCAACTTCCTGTTTAAAAAATTATTTACAGTATTGTCATGAGATTAAAAGAGAAAATCTGTAAAAAGCACTCAGCACATAGGAATCCATCAATAAAAGTTAGTTTCCTTTTCTTTATTGATTACTTTCTAGTTAACGTCACTTTTAAATTGAGTCTAAAATTTTTCACCTATGTATAATTTTGTCTTTTACCATATTGACTGCTTCCCAGAGGAAAGCATAGCTACTAACATAAATTAACAAAAAAAACTTGGCATACATTAACATGTATTTTTAAACCAATTTTCTCCCTGAATCCCAAAAGTGTTTTCACTGGAAACTGTAATGCCAACGCATATTACCAATTACTGCTTTAAAATAAAAAGCTTTATGGAAGGTTGAATATGGCCCAGAATTAACAGCCTGTTTCTTTTAGGGTCTCAACCATCTCTTGTTCAATTGCAAGGTATAGATACAGACAGGAGAAAAGTGAAACTTACTTGGTGGCCAGCAAGTAACCAATCAAAATTATCAAAATTTGAAGTCTCAATGCAAATATTATTGGACAAATAAATGAAATAATTTGTTGTTCAAATTATAATTTACTGCATGACAAACTACCATAAAACTTAATGACTTGAAACAACCACCATTTTATCACATCTCAGGATTTTGCAGGTCAGAATGTTGGGTAGAGCTCAGCTGAATGATTCTTCAGTCCATGTGGCACTGACTAGGATCACGCAGAAGAATTTAGCTAGTGAATGACCTACTCTGGAGGGTCCAGGATGGCTTTACCCACATGTCTAATGCCTTGGCAAAGATGGCTGGAAGGCAGCACTCAGCTGGGATTATCAAGCATATCTCCCTACATGTGGCCTCTTTATCATGGTGGTCTCCGGGAAATTAGACTTCTTACATGGAGGCTTGGGGCTCCAAAAGTGAGTGTTGCAAGAAACAAGACAGAAACTATGTTTTATGACTTAGCCTCTGAAGAAGTGGAATGCAACTTCCACAACATTCTACTGTTGAAGTAAGACCAGATTCATAGAGAGGGCAATTATACCTTACCTTTCAATGGGAGAAACAGTGAAGAATTTCCAGACACCTTCAATATATCACACTTGTATTTATGAAAGAGAATGGCATTGGGGCTCCAGGGTGGCTCAGTTGTTTGGGTGTCCGACTTCAGCACAGGTCATGATCTCGTGGTTTGTGAGTTGAAGCCCTGCGTCAGGCTCTGTGCTGACAGCTCAGAGCCTGGAGACTGCTTCGGATTCTGTGTCTCATTCTCTCTCTGTCCCTCTCCCACTCGTGCTTTCTCTCTGTCTCTCAAAAATAAATAAATGTAAAAAAATTTTTTTTCATTTAAAAATTTTTTTTCTAAGTTTATTTTTTGAGAGAGACAGAGCATGAGCAGGGGAGGGGCAGAGACAGAGAGGGGGGTCACAGAATCCAAAACAGGCTCCAGGCTCTGAGCTGCAGGCTCTGAGCTGTCAG